AAATCCCCCCCCCCCCCCCCCCCCCCCGCTTTCTAGACCTTTGATCATTTTTGGCGTTCTTCTTTGGTCTCTCTCCAACTGGTCCACAACTTTCATGAAGTGCAGTGCCCAAAGACACCACATAATCTGCTGGAAGCCAGTGTTGAGCAGGGTGGAAGGATTGCTTCATGTGGTTTTCATACATCACTCCTGTTCATACATGCCAATATGAAGTTTGGGGGTTTTTATTCTTGTAACATTAGTCAACAATAACACACTGTTATGATGCACCATATGATGCATTTACGATGCACCATAACCCCCAGATTATCTTGGCAGAAATGCTGCCTTGTCTTGCCCAACGTTTTTTTGTACAACATTTAAGTTAAATTAAAACAAAATTTCAGTTTGATTAAAACTAAATTTCAGTATGCATATCTAAACCCAGAATATGTTAGAAGTGCTTGACAAACATGAGTTGGTTTTCTTTATGTAATTCTACTTCTGCTTGAAATGGTATTGCACAGGGTGCTGGTGTTGTGTAGTACTTTCATATTAAGAACACAGGAATAGAAGCGTCTCCTGCACCATCAAGTCCAGTCCTCTCTGTTCACAGGCAACCATTCATCCAAGATAATGATTTTAGGAAATGCCCTGTAATTGCCAATTCAAATCCTTACTTGCCTGCACGTGCCTCTTGCAGCGTCTCAAACTCCTTTGAGACGCTGCAAGAGGCATGTACAGGAACGAGAAAATGTTCCCCACGCTGCAAATTTGCAGCATGGGGGCAAAATTAGACCCCTGGATACCCAGGGGTCAAAAAATCCCGCAGACTAAAAAAAAGCTGGGCAGGGCACAGTCCCGGACCATTCCCTGAGGCAATTGGAGGCTGGGTCCAACACAGAGATGCTCTGGCTGCCAGAGCATCTCTATGGTTAGCCCTCACCCTGGTGCTGAAACACACCATGCCAGCTGCAAGGAGCTGGGCCCAGGCTCCACTACAGGTAAGTAATGGGTCGGGGGAGATGAAGGAGGGGGG